TCTTTTTCTGTTATCATGAGGTGACACCCACTTGAGAATTTTACGAAGCCTTTTCTTAATTAAAAAAAAAATTCTTTCATAAGCAGATAAGATTTCAGCAGGTACTGTCAAGTGTTTCACTCACCTAGAAAACAACTGTATACAAAACTACACTACTGTTATGAACAGGGAACTGTACGACATCCTTTACTTCTGAACCTTAAGCTCTTTTGAAATTCGTTGGGATATAACCAAGGAAGCAGACCTAAACAATGGTCAAAGGCTAACAATGCTGTTTTGATCGCCCCTCATCTCTAAGGAGCACTGCGAGGTGGTGACTGTATGGATGTTACAGGCAGGTACGTCAAAGTCTCCATCACAAAAAACAGTAAGCTCAGGTACTCAGCCCTCTACTAATAGTTTTCATTCAGATGCCTGACTTCAGGCACCCCTCCTGAAACAGATGTGGACCAGTATTTGTCCCTGGATGTTAGATACCCTAAGTATAAGGCTGCTTCAAAACCATACTCCTAGAAATCTCTGCCATTGGCAGAGCTGGGAATGAAGCCCGGGACTGGCCATACCTCTACTGCTACCCGCCACTTCCTACTCTTCCAATACACCATTGCCCACAAACTTTACGATATACAGGTCATTTGAAAAACAAAGCAAATCCTCTTTAGATAAACCATACACAACCTGAAAGTCAATGCAAACATCCACACAATCGAGAAAGCTTTTCACTACCATTTTGCTCAGATCAAGTCACACTTGTATGTATTTCTGTTCTGAACAAGAACAGGACTGTCCTCCTTCACTGCGACAGAAAAACAAAAGCAAAAAAGTGATGGTGACTGACAGCCTGTGGCTATTCAGTCTCCAAGATTACATTCATAATGCAGTTTATACAGGACTCATAAATGCCTAGTGGAATCTTTAAAGACTTTAATATTCAAACAGGTTTTAAAACTATGGCAAACAACCCTCTGTTACCTTCTACTTGTGATCACACATGCCTATAATACACACGGTTTAAAGACCTGATTAGTACCCAACATCAGCAGGTTGTATATTTAACCATTTCTAAACTATGCATTAAGTTTCTGATAAGAAGTGTAACCAGTATATCTTAAGTGAACTATTTCTATTAATTATTTAGCTACTTCTGAGAACACTTATGTCTGTGAGAAACCCTAGTGGTATCAAACCTCAATGCAAGTCTGATCCTGGTTAGCAGTTCACAATTAACACCACATATACGGAAAACAGAATTAGGAAACACTAAGAAAATGTTGCAAAATAATGCTCAAAAAGTTCACTTGCTGGCATGAGAGAATGGGCTATTGAAATGACTGAGGCACTCTGAAGAAATAATGCTTTTTATGAGTATTCCTAAAATCATGTTCCAAAGTGCCTCTTGGAAGACGTTTGTGCTCATGAGATCACATCTGAAGGTTTGACGAAAGTGTCCCAATTAATTTTACAATTTGATATGCAACAGATTAAACACACGGATTTAAACAAAAAGAAATAATTCCAAAGGGTGAAGCATTACACAAACACAAGCATCTTTCGTGTTTAAGCTATTTAGTTTGACTGGAGTTTTATTTCAACATGTCCCTTAAGACAGAAAAGCAATTAAAAAGATGTATTTGAAAACAAAATGCTTTGTCTAAGAAATATCAGCCATCCTTATCAGCCTGAAAAAGAATGATTAAGGAAAAGCCCTTATCTGCTAAATCATCTACAGAGGTGAGACCTTTGAGGTTTACATACTGACAAGAGGTCAAAAGCCACTGCTTTAGAGCAGCAGCAAATGAAATCGACAGTCTTCCACCATCTGGTAACCAAGGACTTCTCCAGTCTGCCACTGAGGTCCTAGAGTCTTAAGTTTAATGTCTTATTTAGCACCAGGATCCTATCTATTTAACGAGATCCTAAGACTCTTCACTACCTCAAGCCTCCTCCTGGCCCTCTTACTCCTTACCTCAGCAAATCTTGAAGAAATCATTGAGCAATTTGCAGGGTTTGGAAGTGAACAACATTGATGACTGCTCTGTGTGGACATTAACTATGCCAGGATTCATTTCATAAGAATGGGGAGTTTGTCATTTTGAGTTGTACAGTGTTGTGTGCCAGATGACTTCTGCCTTCCTCCCTGGAGACGGCTACTGAGCCAGCTCTGAACAGATGCAGCTTTACAGACCACCTTCTTTTGGAAGCGTCAGATAGTCAGAACACTTTTATGGCCTCCAAACAATTCATTTCTCTCTTTAAAACAAGACACACAAAAAGCCCTATTTCCACTAGGAAGCAGCTTCCAGCTCTTTTGTTCTTGCTTGGGAACCCAGGAGAACCTGCCTCACAGCTGCAGAAGTGGGAGCTCTTCCCTCTGTGTTTTAGCAGGGAAGAGGCTGCAGTGCAGTAGCATCAGGCACAAGGATACTCTACCACCACTCCCGAAGTGTTTCCCTAACGGCAGGCTGAAGAAAAGCAGGGAGAAGATGGTTCTTCCCCACCCCCTCGCCAACTCATGCCTTCCTTGCTGAAAAAGTTTGCACAATTAATATTAAGAGAAATTAGATCAGAGGATGAGAGACATGGGGAAGAGCTGACCCTGTGCCTTCTCTTATTAAATAGAACTTTGTTGCTTTGCATGCAATCCATAGAATATTAAACTCTACATACTCTGGAGTTGGCTTGAAGCCTAACAAAACTGGAACCACCCCATCCTTATTGGCTTTATATAGATAGGTACAGAAATATACAAAGTTGAGATGATTCATGCTCTCTGGAATGAAGGGCAGCGGCACAACTTTGCTTAAGCAGAGATATTCATGGGAGCAGGCAAAACAGACCGAGTACTCCGACGGCTGGGAAAAGCTGCTGACGGTTGTTCTTGGTGGCTATCGAGAAGAACATTACTGAAAAAACAGGTAGGGCGGTGGGTAGGGCAGCTGATCCCACAGCTGAGAAGGGAGACTGGAAGGTGTCTGGGCCAAACAGGGTTTAGTTCTTCTTTTGAGCGGCTAGTCAATGAAAACAAAACTTGTGAAATAAATCGGCCACCAAATGCCTAAAATTAAAATATACCACTCCCACCTGCCATAAGAGTCCTGAGCTCCTTTCTCTTTTGAAGGTAGTTACCAATTTAAGTTATTCTAGAAGTTTCTCTGCATATGCACAATCAAAGGACAAGGCAAAGGCAAAGTACAGTATCAAAATAAAAAACCAATCTACCTAAAAAAAAAAATAAATCTATTAAGCTTCTTAAAAGGCAAGAATTGCTCTCCACTCATAGGCAAAAGGCACTGTTATGCACTCTAAATTAAATGGAAGCTCAAGGTATTTTTAGCAGTATCAATATATTCCACGTTTTTCATAAATACACACGTGACACTTCAGTACTTTAATCAAAACATAACTTCAAAAATGCACAAAAACTCATAAACACCCAACTATACTAGAAGCATTCTGCAAGTATTTCGAATTTTTTAATGATCACCTCAGGATGTTGTAGTTCCTAAGGAAAAAACAGAGTTTTTTCCAAAAGTTTGATTTCAGAGACTGGTGATATCATACTACAGAACAACTGTAGATTTAAGGGTGCTGATGTAATTTTTTCCACACAAAGTAACTGAACTCTGTAGAAAGCAAGCTATGTCAGATTAGACTACTATGCTGCTTCATAAGACTTAAAATTCATTATAGTGCATTTTTGTATTGCACTAATGAGATGCCAGCTCTCACTGAACAGCTATACAGATGTCTAGCCTTCAGAAGCCAGGATAACCATATGTCAAACTTCTGTGGTTTTGCCACTTGATATTTTGGGTGTATGCCTTCATTTGTGATAATAAATATCAGGCCACAAACTAATGTCTCCTCAGATATCTAATATGTTTAACACTCAAAACAGCTTGAAAATCTAAACATTTCTGCTGTTAGCTTTGAGTTCTCCTCAAAGAATTATGCTACAATATATACCAGATGAATAGGCTAGGGATAACACAGCCATTGCCAGTTGTTAGGATGGGTTTCTCTGCCATTTTGTATGTATATTTTTCATCCTGCAGTATACACAAAGTTCAAACCCCCTCCCCTCCTCAGGGCCTTCGTTAAGAAAATCTATAAATCTGCTGTCCTACCACACATTGCAATGCTGAAGACTGAAAATCTGGAAGTTGCTCCTAATCATACCTTGCACATAAGCAGGTACAAAGAAAGGTTTGTGCGTAAGACATCTGTAGAAACAGACGGAATAGCACTATGTATTTTAAGTACCAATTAATAGGCCTCAAGGCATTTTCTTCACATAGCAAACGGGGAAATGTGATAGTAAAGTTAAACAAACGACACAGCATCAGGCAGCCAGTCTGGAACAGTGAAGGCAGCAGAATTCAACCCCAGCCTCTCATGTACACGACCTCAATCATGATGCACTTCCTTCTGTATGCATATGCTTATACAGAATATATTCTTATCGTGTACATTAGCTTCTGCACCTTCGCAACCAAACTACTAATAAGGAGGAATTGCTGTAGCTTAAACAAAGCCAGTAGTGTTACACTGACAGATGTCTCCCAAAATTTGGTAGTGTTACAGTACGTACCCAAGAGGAAGAGCTTTTGTTTGACCCTTGACAGACCTGAGGAATTAGCATTAAACCCACAGGATGTATCTCGGAGGTCCGGCTCCTTACTGAAAAAGGCCAGAACACCAGAACTGCAAGTGAAGCAACACTGAATACAATTTTATGTGGTACTGCTAGAAAAGCCTTCTCTCCTCCAACAAAAACAATAGCAACGGCTGTCCTTTCCTCTCTTACCAGTCTCTTAGCTTAAACAACTTCAGACTTGCAATGGAAAACACATCCATACATATATATATATATATATAAAATTAAATATAAAAGCCAATCAGCAGGGTCAAGTCTCTCTTCTTACAATTACATTTCCAGAGTTGTCTCCAATCAAACTAATGCTCCAAGACCAGAACTATCACAGTAATGGTTAGTTTTCCTTATTATCTACAAACCCTTTTCTGGCCAAAGTAGTAAATGCTCTATAGGAGTCCGATAACTTTACAAGGTGACGGCATTTGTGTGTTTATTGTAAGCCATTTCTATTGCGAATTGCTAACAACTTTTCAAAGTGCAACACTGATTTGGAAACGCAGGCACACTAATACATCAATTGCCATGACTAACGTATAAACTTTTAATGACCTTGGCAAAATCTTTCTTTCATTGGGCAGGTGCCACTATTTTGACTGTACAAAATGTTTTGGAAATATGTTGAAAATTATACATGTTTTGGAAAATATTTCAGGATTTCAGTATAGCAAATGAAGCTATGTTAAATAAAAGTTTGACATGGAGGAGAAAACACTCCAAAGTTGTGCAAGTCTTTTTTTTTTTTTTTTAAAAAAAAGAGAGATATCCTCCAAGCATTGCACATTCACAGAATGCTGACTTTTTATCCAAACAAAGTGAAGAGGATAAAATATCATCTTGAAGGGTTTTCAGTTTCACTCAGTCACTGTCATCTTCTTGTTTCAGACCACCTCCTTGTTCAGCATTGCCCTCTCCATCACTTTCCTTGTCCCAGTCTTTCATAGATGCTCCCATCATGAAGTCATCACGCAGTATATTCCATTCTGGCCCCTCTTCGGACTTCACTTCACCCTGAATGTTTGTGAGGAGGAGAAGAGGGAACAGAGGAAGATAAGATGAATGGCAGTAAAAGATGGAAGCTCTTCATGCAATCAAAATAACACCCCTCACGCTCCTACAATTTGCATCGGCAGACCTACCAAGGGCTAGCTCTTTAGGCAAATGGTACACAGAAATATGCAGGACAATCAAAAATGACTTGATGCTAAAAAGCAAACTTGTTTTAACCAACCAATAAGAGAGATATGGAAAGAAAACAATTATTCCTCATGGATGAAACAGTCAACCCTGGGCATGGCTTCCTTTATTAAAATCTTTCTTGGCAATCAGAATGGATTCATGATATCATTTATTAACCCCCAGGTGCTGCTTCATTAGAACACTTTTTGGCACATTTCTAAAACACAAATATGGATTTAATAAAGGCTTAAACCCACCCCCCCAATTTAATATTTAACATATTCTGCAATACGTGAACCAAATCCCCTTTATGTGGATTATTACCTCACTACCTGGGCTTGTCATATGGTGCAAAGCTGCTTCTAAAAGAAACAAAAGTTGATCTACACTCAGCAAGCCAACACCACCTTACTCCAAATTTCCTACCTCTTGAAAGTGGATAAACCAAGGCCACACTACACGGACTGGTGAACAATGAAGAAAAGCAACAGGCACGTAGTTTTAGGTTAGCACTGAAAACAGTGCTTGGTTGCAGTTCTTCTCGTGACAGATCATATTTGGGCAGTGCAACAGCCCCATCCTGTGGCAATAGTTTTAAAGAACAGCTCGAAGCTATTCCTACATTCTTACTGTCGCAAAATACTAAAAACTGTTCCATGTACTGAAGAAGGATTTCAGCGGTTTAAGCCTTAGTAGCAAAATACTTCTAAGGAACAACATGGCTCAGTGTCCAGCAGGCAAGCAAAAAATTGTCCTATCAAAGAGGAACCAGGAGCACTGAAAACAGTAACGTATTTCTGCAGGGTCTCTGAAACAAAGTTAATCCAGGCATCTCAGGTGTGCTTTTCCCCCTGCCCTGCTCAAAAGGACAGACTACAGCTGACTCACCGCAGTCTATGTAACCACCTCCTGACACTGTACAGTGGATGGGGGTCATCTGTTACTACAGCATCCTCTGCAGATGCAGATTTGCCTACTAGGTGCAAAACCCCATAATAAGTGTGTGATTGCTGTAGACATTTGTTCATGCCTCTTCTCTGGCATGCATCTGGCCATAGGCGATACACAGAACCATAGCACATTTAAGCTGATGTCCGTGCAATCTTTGGGATTTGCATCATATCACACCAATGCAAGTCACTTGAGTGCAAAAAGTCTGCCAGACAAGATATGTATTTTTAATAGGTTATCAAAGAAGAAATCCTAAATGTGACTTCTCCCGCAGTTCTTTTTGAAAGACTACTCACAAAAATAGGGTAATGAACACTTTCCTACCCAAAAGGAATCTCCCAGGGCCCAGTTTGAAGAAAAATAAAAGAGAAACTCTACAGCTGTTCCTCAAGATGTTTGCACTGTGTTTTGGTTTGGGTTTTTTTTGTCCTCACAGCTGCTCTCATTAATGCCTACTCCTAAGAGTAACTCTCCCATCCCAACAATCCCCCTTTTCCCCAGGGTAGTGCCTCCTAGGCACTCTCGACTCTTGCAGCAATTCACTTCAAATGCTACACGCAGTACAGTCCGAAATCATCTCAGACAGGGTAATCAATTATCCAGAATTAAAAGAGTTACAGACATGGTAGGTCCCTAGACAGACCTTAAGATGTTCACATGCAAATAATCTATATTAGTACAAACGCAGGTACTCCGTTCTGGGATGCAAGGAGAAGGTAGCTCGCCCTCCTCCCCTTTTTTAACTGTATTTCAGTTGTCTTATATGTTTACCTTTGCAGAGTAGAGAAAAGTTGAACAGATTACAGAAGTCACCAAGCCTTTTCTTTTTTAATCCCAGACCTTTTATAAATCACTGTTTGAACATGCCACAGAGTTAAATTTGAAATATCTAAATGGAAAAATCCCGTTTTCCTTACAAAACAATCAGATTTTCTTACTTTTTTTTCCAATAATAATAAAAGCAACAGAGATTCCTTTTTTTTTTCTCCCATATGCGCAGAACAGGGCTTTTTTTTGGTTTGTTTTTTAAATAGCACAGAAGCAGTAGATTACTGTCAACAATGACAGTGAAAGGCTCAGGGTTTGAAAAGCCCAATGCTCAAATTCATCAGAAGCTACTATTCAGCAACCATCAGCCGTTCTTTCTGGCTATGTCAAGTAACAACACAACAAAAGCAGGACCTCAACAAAAGAGGGATGCTGATCCTCCATAGCATTACCCACTATGTAAGGCACCACAAAGGTCTGAATAGAGTTTTACAACAAGCCTAAGGAGAAAGACAGAGGTAGCATGTCCATGCCTCAAAGATGAAGATTAAATGCTTGAAAGCAAATATTTAATCAATTTTAAGCATGCTCCCAAGTGAAGAAAACCCCCTGTTTAATATCTTCATTCCTAACTAATTTACTGCTCTATTTTCCCCTCAGAATAAAAACTCCTCAAATCTATTGTATCACAAAACATTCCTGCAGTCTTAAGAAAATATGCAGCAAGACTATTTGTATAATTAACAATTAGTTCAACTGTAACATCGCTTCCCAACTTGCTTTATGTAACACTGCTAATACACTTGGGATTTCAATGCCATAATCTGGTTTCATCTAAATAAAACAAAACTGATTCTTGGCACGTGGAAAATAAACCAGCTTTCATTCTATACAACCGCTTTTGAACTTCAGTCAGCTGTTCATCCACATCTCCCACACTTCACTACAGTACTGACGTCCCCTTTGAACATCCCCAAATGAAAACAAAGCAGGCTGCATAAACACTAGTGTGTAATGCTACATCAAGTGGATCCCTCGATAAGGCAAGGAGTGAAAAATTCTGGTGCTGCTTTTTTCCCCCTCTCCTTTTTTTATACTACACTTGAACGGGTTTGTTCTTTGCCTGAAGGTGTGGCAACCTATTTCAAAAGGTCCGAGAGGCAGCAGTTAGTAAAATATCTCAGGACTCACTGGTACATGGTGATGCACTTGTTATCATGAGCTGAAATAAGACAGACCAAAACGTGCAGTGTGGTTACTCTAGTGCAGATACTTATTTGCTGGGACATAACAACAGTCCAGTTGTAAAGAGATCATATAAATAAAACAAACACCATCTTGCATGCTTGGTGTGCTAAGTCTGACACATAGTAGGGCTCTAGTGGGGACTTCCTTCCCAAACTAGTTCTGATTCGAAGACATACCCTCTAAAATCTGCACCAGGACAAGACGAACGGAAATTCTTAGCAAAGTCCAAATAAAACCCCCAACCCAATGACAAAGCTTAGGTCTGTCACCTACAACAGCTGTCCCTTGCAGGATCCAGGCTGGAATTGCCTCCTGAATGATTTTGGAGGAATCAGTCTATGAAAACCCTAAGGCATCAGCAGCAGCTATATGATCAAGATCAAGTTAAAAATCTCCCTGTTTTGGTTCATTTCTTTACCACTTTAAAAATTTGGAGCTATGTAATTCACTCTTGGTAAATGACATTACAGTAATTATTTTCAACTGAGACCTGCCAAACTCAACACCGCAGTTGTGGCAGACTGCACTGCCACTCAGGTGGGAAACTGGTCCCCTCCACCCCTTCTGAAGCTGTCAGAAGCAGCAGCAGGACACTTGTAACTGCACATAGCCGCTTCAGTCTGCAAACGAGTGCCTTAGCTCAAAGCCTGCTTCCTTTGAAAGCTGAAGGGAATTAAGTTCAGTCTAAGTCACAGGACATTGTCATTTTCATCTGTTGCTTTACTGGCACAACAACATCCTAAAACCAGAGCAGGAAAAGTTTGCCAGAGCTTTTCAGAACCCTACGCACAAGCAGACTGAAGTCCCATAAAGCATATCAGTAAGTAACAGCACTAAAAGATACGTTTTGAAACAAGAGGCACAGATTAAAGACAGCATTTCACACCACTATCCACCAGCTCGAGTCACTTGAACATACCCCAGCTTCTGCCTCTGCAGAACAGCAAACACACCTACATCACCACAGAGATTCCCCTACAGCCTGTGTCCAGAAGACAGTAACTGCAGGGTATTAACAAATGAACGTTTTTCAGACCTAGGAATTACAATCAGCACACTGGGCTCCCACACCTTTTCTCTGTGTACAAGATTAAATGCCAAGGCTTGCAGGGGCATCTCTCTTTACCATCATAGACAATAAACGTTTATTTGTACCTGTCAGAGAAGGAATTTCTAACATAAATATCTCTCAAGCAACAACTTTAAGTCCTGAGAAAACAATTCTAACATGTCTAATTAATTTGAACTGCCTCCCCAGGTTCCTCTGTTTTGCTCAATACAAACATCTAAGACCTCGAAACACAGGGAGGCTTTTGTCATGAGGAAGAAGTTGCAACACTTAACTGCCAAAACGTATTTTCGCATACATCTAACAATTGCCTTCCCTGCCAGCCTGCATCTTGCTCCGAATGACGGCTGCTATTCTGTTTCTCATCCCCAAACAAGTCAGTTTAAACCTAGCTCAAAAAACAGCATAGGCATTCACTGATGTGTGTTAAATCTCAATTTAAGAACAAAACAAAAAAAAATATCATGGAAGAAAATGGAAAACAAAGAACGCCAGCATGATAATTTCTCCTAAATTAATCTTCAGGAATATCCAAGATCACAGGCTAAGAAAATACATTTCCTCTAGGCCGGGAAGAAATCATGAAAACTGCAGCTGAAGTATCTAAAGCAGCAATATAATCAGAAAACAAGATGTAAGGATCTTTAACAGAAAAATGGTACTTGGGTTTAATCATCAGTGCCACTTGCAACTTTATCTAATTTGAATTACAGTGAAATCTCACTATAAGAAAGGTTCCTACGCATGCCTGATCCCAAACAGACAAAACCCCACAGGTCTGGAAACTCAGAATATA